GGGGGGGGTTGGGTAGTATCTCGGGGTCTTTCTGGGGGAGGAACTCGCCTTCTACCTCACATCATTATTAACCCGACTTAACCAGTGCGATTGACTGCCCTGTTCATTGAATGTGCAAAGGTGAGCATTGAACTCAGTAGCTCTGATTTGGTTGATAAACTCGTTATTAATTGCTCCTATAGACCTGCGCATGAGTTAACTATCACGAGATGTTGTTAGCATCATCGGTTGTGCACAGTTGGAATCAATCGTGTGTGTTACCTTTCTCCCTGAGCACTGTGCTATGCGGCTAAATGCCTGTTATTACCTGATACATTTGACTGCAAAATGGTATAGTTCCAGGATTAAAATAACAGCATGTATCTCAGGCGAATCATATGCCAAAATTCCCACATTCAACTGAAAATGTTTCTGGATTTGATTATGTAAAGATTCAAATCTCCTCTCCTTATTGTCATGTCTTATGGCAGTTTTTTTCTAAATTTTAGATGCTAACGCCAGTGTGGATGTCTTATACCAGGTAATGGCTCTTTTTTTCTTTGCATTTTGTGTGTGTGTGTGTGTGGTAATTTTGTAATGTTCACCACTTTGGAATAATTTCATATGTCGTGTTGACAGAAGCTGTCAGGCATGACCAAATTGCTCGAAGCTAGGGAAGCAAAACTTGTGGAGATATGCCGATCAAATCTGTCTCTACAGGAAGTCAATGAGTTCCTTCATACGTAAGTCCATTTATGCCTTCCTTATTTGTTTATTTCTGTTTTTTTTGTTGTTTCAATGCATTTTTTTGCAAATGAATCATCTGTTTCCTCCCTCTCTCCCTAGCAAATTAGAGGAAGCTGGTCTACCCCATGACTTTAACACGTCCGATCTCCAATCTCTGACTGATGAATTTACTGAACGTCTAGCGAAAGCTGAGAAGAGGCTTCAGGCAGCAACTCGTGAAAGAGACGAGCTTAAATCTCAGCTAGCTTCTGCAACAAGATCAATCGAGTCGAATCTCAAACGTGTCTACTGTGAGCAAGAAAATGCCCTCAAGTAAGATTCCAGGCTAGTAATTTTTTTCTACTGATTGACAATAAGTAGGCTAATTTTTGTAAGTTATTTATTTTCAGATCGAGATGTGCAACATTAGAAAGCACTCTTGCCGAAAAAGAAACTCAGTTAGCTGATCTGCTCGCAGAGGGTAATAGAATGGCTCAAGAGCAACTGAAGACAAATAATCTTGTCAAGACCCTGCGTTCAAAGACCAAAACTCTTGAATCAGAGAAACTAAAGATTGGGTACGTGGACCTTTATTGATGCAATAATTAAATATCCACGTTACATGCTTAACTGTATGGCTTCGAACACTCCTTTCAAGATTGAGTGTCTGTTCTAATATTTATGCCTCTTTCAATCTTAGGAAATCAAATTCATTCTTTTTTTGCCTGCATTTCTGAGGAAAATTCGACATGTTTTTCTTTTCTCTCTAAGAGTTTGTTTATTGTCGACTCAGAAGGTAGGAAATGGGTCTATTAAAATTTTGAATGCCAAAATGGGGTTCATTTGGTCGACACTTTGCCAAGACCCAAAAGCAGGAAGAGAGGACATCTGTAGTTCAAATGAAAAGGGCTTTTTTTTCTTTAAAGAAAATAAATCGTTTACATAGAAGTTGGCCAATCGGAAATGATTGACTGCCGAAAAATGTCTCCTTTAGGATAAGAATGCAGTTGTTTATACAATAATAATAACATTTGTGCCTTTCTTAATTTAGTAATAATCTCACTAAAGCGCAGACAGAAATCGACAGCCTGAAATCCGATTTATCCATCCTTCGTGAAAGTGAGAGTAAACTCCAAGGTGAGTACTACTTTATGCCCTTTTGCCTTGTTTTGCCCTCTTTTCCCACTACAATTAACTAATTAATTAATTCTCCCCACCCATCTACTCACCCTTCCCCCCCCTCTCTGTCTTGTATCTACAGAATCCTTCAATCAATTGACTCGTAAAAATCTCAAGCTAGAAAAGGAAGTCTCGGATTTTAAGGTAAAGTTGTCTCCTCTCTATTGTGTGTATGTGTGTGTGTGTGTGTTATGTGTGTGTATTTTCTTTTCTCTCTTACAATTTGCACTAAAACCTCTCATACGTGTTCTACTTCGAATTCAGGCGGAGTTGGACGCCTCCAAGGAGAAGGCGGAAGCTTTGAACCGTGCCAAACTGGCTTTGGAGAGGTGAGTACACCAGCCCGCAGTATTGTTTCAAACCAGCAAGTTGGAACCAGAAATTGGAAGTAATTACGATTGTTGAGTTGGCATAGGAATGTGTGTCTCTACCGTTGCGGGAGACATTAACAAATATAGACAATTAGTCAAGCATAGTAGGGAAAAAGTAGAGTACAGACAGTGATTTGGGGGGGGGATATTTGTTGTTCAAAAAGGTCGGCACTAATTTGATAAACCGGGAACAGCAATAGCTTCTTTTTCTTCCAAGAGTTTGGTCTATTTACCTTGTATGCTATTTTTATTCCAATTTCTTAAATACTGGACAATTCCTTTTACCTCTGATTAATGAATTTTCCCTTCATTGCTTTACCTACTTTCCCAGGAATGTCTTTGTGTTGTACATTTTAAAATCAAAGATTGTGCTTGGACGATATTGTTTTATTTGAGCCCCCCCCTCTCTCTCTGGAAAAAAAGGAGGTGGGGGGGGGGGGGGGGGGGGGGGGGGGGAAGGAGGGAAGGAATTATGCATTTGCGTTTATTGTTCTTTTTTCCTTATTTTGGACATTTTATTGTTAAGAATAGCAGAAGTCAGACAATCTTACCATGGGTGCTTTGAGTTATTGTGTTTGCAATGCTTTTTTTTCGGCCATTCAGACAAAAGTTTCCTAAAAATTTTCTCGTGTTGGTCTCAATTTAAACAATTAGTTCCCTTCTTACAATCCTCCAATTGGCTCTGCGTTTCATTCTATTCTATCGATTCGTAGTCTGAAACCAGGGATTAGCTCCAACTTCTGAATGTTCTTGATCCACTCCTTATCTTACTTATTTATTTAATAACACCAAATGTAGATATTGAAGATAATCACTTTCTTGGGTTGCATTTTGCTTGAATTTCGCTTTTGAATTGTTTGGCAGAAGAATCGATGACTTTGTAGCTCTAAGTTGCGGTGTTTGCGGACCTCGTTAGTCAGCCCAGCTATCCATTTTAATCTCTAAGGCGATGTGATATGCATCTTCGATTTGGAATCTAATCTTGTCATTAATACGTGGAATGCTTGCTTGCCTCAGCTATACTTCTCCCCCCCCGAAAAGCATTCAACCAATTAGGAGTAAGATTCTCATCATTTAGGTTCTATTTATTATCCTTGTGCAGACGCCTTATGGAACTTATCCACCTTTTCCCCTCTCCCTTTCCCTTCATAGCAAGCTCCTAGAGAGTGCAGAGGGTCTAGCGTCTGCACAAGCTGCCTTGAATGAATCGCAGGCTCGTCGGGACGCTATTCGTGACGTCGAGGAGGAGCAGCAAAGCCTTCGAGACGAGGTGAGTACACTTCGAGCCCAATTAGAGGAGGCTCGGGTAGCTGCTTCTCGTCAAAAAGTTGAGGCTGACCAGCGACTTCATCTGGTTCGACAAGAAGTGGACCATTATCGCGTGAGTCATTTATTTCTTAATTATCCATTTCCAATGTTAATCCAGCTTTATTAACATCGGATAACTCTGCAAGTTATTGAATTTCCATTTAATTATTATGCATATCAATAGTTTCTTCTTTCAAATGGCAGGCGTTTTGATAATTATCATTAACCCTTTAGCTGACTTCGGGCTTCACAGAGAGGAGAAACATCTAAATGGGAAAAATTCGAGAGGAGGGACAGAAGAGTGATTCATAGATGTAAGAGAGACAGACAGACACACACAAAGGTAGAGAATAGGTAAGATGAGTACTTTGGAGTGGTATAATATGACATAGTGTCGGGTCCTAGCAGTTAGAAGTCAGAAGTCAACTGCCAGTTAACAGACTTTTTGCCGTATGATCATACGTTTCCCAGGGTGCACCACGTGGAGGTCAGTCTGTCGTACACCACTGCATATCACTAGTATTGAGAGCCATTAATTCCTACAATCTTTTTGGTCCCATTTCTCCATGTGAAACTTTATACTACTTATAAGGTATATTTTAGTAGTAAGTGTGCAAAATATCTCAAATGCTACTATTTTATAGCCCCCCCCCCTTCCCTGTAAATTTCCTGGTGTGATTGATACCGTTTCTTACTTTTATATCACCGTTGTATCTTGTTGACTTTTTCTCTACTTTCTCTCCTCCCAGGAACAACTGGCAGAGTCGGAGTCCCGTCTTCAATCCCTTGGTGAGGCAGCCACATCCGTGGCCAAACCCCTCCTTCAGCAAATTCAATCCCTACAGTCAAAATTAAATGACCAATCGAAGGAGTTTGAGAAGACAGAGCATAGTCTTCTTTCTCAAATCAGTAAGCTCTTTGTACTCTTCTCTTCTGAAGGAGCACTGGAAATCGCGAAGCCACGAAATACCTAATCTCTGGAAGATAGCTTTGCATTTCATAAATAGCACATTAACCTTTTTCGATTATTTATTGGCAGGACTTGTCCCAGTGTCACCTTTGTGGAGACTGTTGTCCATTTTGTCAGTGAATTAGTACCTCAAAGCGATCAGTGCTAGATGTCTAAATGTGACCAATCGGAGCTCTTCTTTCGAGTTGAGCGCGATTCCAAGATGCCTTTTTATCACAATGCTCTCGAGAAATCTATAAGTGTCATTTTTACTGGCTACTCTTAGCAGTATTGTGGAAAGGTCAAAGGGTTTTTTTGCTATCGTATTCTGTTGAGATGGCACTAAACCTCTGGGAATAGTTCCTTCCGATAAATTTAGTTTCATATTATTGAAATATAATCTATCATTTTAGATGATCTCAAGAAACGCTTAGAAGTGGTGGAACACATTGATCGTCAATCAATGGATCGTCTCAAAGAGGCTGAAGTTGCTGCTAACGCCTTGAGGCTAGAACTCGCCCTCGAGCGAGAAAATTCCACTCGATTACACGACAAAATCGCCAAATACAATCTCCAAGCCTCAGCTGATAAAGGCGAACTGGAAAAGTGAGTTTACTTCAAAATGACATCGACTGAATTATAATCGAATCAACTGTACATTTTACCTACTTATTCTCTCTTGGTCATGTGATCGATTTGTTAATTGGGTAAAGGACTGACTACCATACGAATTGAGGAGTTACTTACTCACAACACCGACGAAATAGCTATACTTGCAGGTGTATTATTTATTTATATCAAATGGCAGACGTTATGATAGTTGGTATTAGCCCTTTAGCTGACTTCGGACTTCACAGAGGGTAGGAACATCAAAGTGAGAAAAATTTGAGAGGGGGAATAGAAGAGTGATTCACAGATGTACAAGAAACAGACAGACACAAAGGCTCAGAAAGGGTAAAATGAGTATTGTGGTAGGGGGTCGAATATGTCATACAGTGGGGTCATGGCAGTTTGAAGTGAGAAGTCAACTGCCGATAAATAGACTTTTTTGCCGTATGAGATGTCAACTGCCGATTAATAGACTTTTTTGCCGTATGAGAAGTGAGAAGTCAACTGCCGATAAATAGACTTTTTTGCCGTATGAGTGTACGTTGCCCAGTGTGCACCACGTGGAGGTAAGTCTATCGTATTCTTAAGAATAATTGTTTAGAAAACCAGCAAGGGTTGATACTCCGTAGGTGTACTATAAGTTAAGACAGGGTGATAACGGTTTATTTTTTAATATCAATGTAGGGTTCGTTACATTACAGGAGCATAATCGGTTCCTCGTGTACTGCAAGTTTTAAATTCTTTCAATTTTTTTTCCCATAAACGTATCTGAGAGTAGTGGGGTCTTCTCTCTGCTACATTAATATCCAACCAATGGCCGAGCAATAATTTTTTGCCATAAATGACTTCAAATTCTTGGTGAAATAGCCTCACTAAAATTTCTGCCTTTTTTTTCTCTGGGTTTGAGAGTTACGGCACAGGGGTAAACTTTAGCCCTTTCAACTTCGAAATCTTCTTGCTTAAAGAATAAGTTAATCATATGACTACTACGCTTATTATTTTGCTCTGCCGGTTGGATAACTTCATATAATTACTCCAAAGTCATCCCAGTGGCTAAAAATTGTCTCTTAAATATAACTTTCAAGGCTGGAAAAGAATATTTAAATGCAGTGGGGGCGGGGAGGGGGGGGGGGTGGATTAGAAAAGTCTCTTCTGGACCTCCCTTCGCTCTGCTAGAATTGGAAAGCTGTGTAACCCATTCTCGAATTGTTCTTGATATGATCTTAAAATATGACGGTGGACACTAACGACCGATCGTATTGCTGCAGGGTTGCGCGCTAACATCTTTACTACATTTCTTTCCTTTGAATTACGCAGGAAGGTAGTAGCCTGTATTTACGCGTTTTTATTAAGTCACGATTGGGCCTAATTGTCACTCATCACGAATCCTCCGTCAAATTAATTTAATTTCTTTTTGCAGAATGAGTGTACGTTGCCCAGTGTGCACCATGTGGAGGTAAGTCTATCGCACACCCCAGGTTGCGTGATATTGCTTTGTGATTATTGTACTGTAGTTTGGTAGGAGTCGACATTTTCGTACATGCGGGTGCGAACGCGATGCTATAGGCCACAGCATGACTTTCTTTAGTAATTGGGAATTGTAATAATGAATTTTTATCTCCCCTATCCATTCGAGACGGCAATTTGACCTTTCTCTTCTCGCGGTTCGCCATTCTCCATTAATCACACTTGTCCATTTCACAAATGAATCATAGCAGAGAGTCAACTTTACGATCACTACCTTTCCTCATGCGCGCTCTATTCCACTCAATGGTGACCCTCCCCTCCCTCCCTCCCCCTCCTCCTCCCCCTCCTCCTCCTCCTCTTAACTAACTTCTCTATCGGGCTCTTTTCACTCCCTCCTCTCCTTTATAAGCCGACTTTTTTTTCGCCTCAAAAACAGGCGATGCTAATTGCATCCCGGAGGACTATTAGCATCGGCCTCCCTCACCCCCCAACCCCGCCATCCCACCCCCCTACTTGACGGACTGGATGCACGCGTGTAATTGGCTTTGTCTAACATGTCCTTTTGGGCCACTTAATGGCTCAATTAGAATAAAGGGGAAATATAGGCAGTTTAATTGTTTTATACGCAGTGAAGGCTGCCTTGTGAAGGATCATTTTGGCTCATTTGATCGACCTTTTATTGATCTGTAATCTAATTGGTGGATTGCTGACCTACCACCTTAATGTGTCCACAAATCTTGGTTCCCCCCCCCCCCCCAATAATTTATAAATTATTACGTCGCTATAATTACCTTTGTGGCACTACGAACTCAATAATTTATCTACTGCAAAAAAAGACACTTTCAATATATCATAGAGTTGCCAACTTGCTGCTCCTTTAATCGATAACTCGACAAGTCTGCTACCGTTTCCATCACTTTGTCATAACTAAACGAATCAAAGCTAAAGCAAGACTCTTTCAATGCAGGTCAAGGTTTAGGAAAATCGTAGACAGTGTTTTCATTTCACTTTTTTTTAAAAAAAAAGAAAATTTAAAGATGCAAAAAGTTGAGTTTCATTGTAAATTTCGTTGATTTTGCTTTGCGCTTCCTCTCCAATATGACTGGATTCTTCACTTCGTGGGTCGGATTCTAGCCAAGATTCTAAAATGAAACTTCCCTCGATTACGCCGCTATTGGCCCAACATAGAATCGGTGTCTTTTTGGTATGGTCGTTGCACATTTTCCAAACCTTCTCCAGGTAGAAGGAATATCATGCTGTCACCAGAGTAAGTCGTGTAATTAGTTTCCAATAATTTCGGACTCATTTTAGTTATTTTTCTACATGGTATTGAAGTCGCACCTCATAGCTGTATTTATTGTTGACCCAGATGGGCTAATTTGCACATGATCAATTGCGATTTCTTTGTGTTATTAGTACTTCATCTTCGTCTCTCTGCTTAGAACGAGGGAGTAAAACCAGCAAAAAATCATTTGGGCCAGTGGTTAGAGGTGATTGGGCTGGGTTCTCTCATTCACGACGACAGAATGCCTCATCTCCCTTTGATCGCGTACTACTATCGCTTCACCAACCCACGCTCGCTTTCGGTTTCCACGTGTGTCGTATTTCGTGAGTTGCTATCGGAAATGGGCGTGGTCTTAGTTGGCACCAGTTTTTTTCGCTTGTTTGTTTTGGATTAATCAGACAAAATTACTTATTACTTTACGTATTTATCTTACCACTTCTATTCATAAATCGGACTCAAGACAGAAATGTGCATTTTGACAAAGTTTACAAGAGCAGTGGATCTCCATCGTATCATGAGTTCGTCGTTTGGTGGGGGAGGGGAGGGGAGGGGGAGGCTAGGCGACTTCTCTTGGAGGCCAAATTGGTGATTGTTTTGCTTTTTTGTGTCTTCAGACTTCACTCCGAATTGGACTCCCTTCATCAACAAATTGCCGCTCTCGAAGATTCTCGAGATTCTGCCAACTCCGCGCTTTCAGCCGAACGTGAGGAAGTCCTCAACCTCCGTGCGGAACTAAGCAAAACCAAGTCAGAATTAGCTAATGCTCGAGCTGTTTCCCCCCTCCATACAACAGCCGTTGCTGCGACTTCGTATTCTCCGACTCCTTCGGAGGTACGGTCACAGAGGCACTCTTCTTTTGTGAGTTTCTATTTGGAGTACTGTCTCTTCTAATCCTCCTCCTCCTCCTCTTTTTGCATTGTTTCACTGCGGTATTCTCCTTGTTACTATAGAGCTCCAGTTCTGACATTTTGGCTGTGACTTTACCAGAACAACCTTCACCTTCTTCCCCGTCTCTTCCAAGGCCGTCAGCGACGCCAACGGGACATTTTGCAAGCAGTTTGTCCTTCCTTCAGGTGAGGAGTTGTCTAAATACAAAATTATAATGCCTTATTATGCTTACTAAAATGGGCTGTCACTTGGACCCCATCATTCACTCGAGTTTTGCGTGAGTTCTTGACAGTCTGTGCATTGATCAGTGCCTGCACTTCTTCCATGACCCACTACCATCTTTTCAACCGGTTTCTAACTTGATTCGCTTTTTTGAGATCTAATCCTTTTTTAGAAGGTGCTTTTTAATCAAAACGCCCTATTTCATAACAATGGTCTTGATTGTTTGATGATTTCAAAGGTGACGTTTAAGTGCACCCCTCCTTTCACGGGAAAGATTGTCGAATTAACAGTTTCCTCTTCTCTAGGTCAGTCTATGGGGGAAGTAGAAGGATGACTGTTTGTCTATTCGCTGTTGACACCATTTACTTCAGAGAGGTCCTAGCACGTCTATATATATATATATATATATATATATATATATATATATATTTTGCTGGAATTTAGATTGAAAGTGTGCATTGCTATCATCGTAACGGACTTACTTGCCTCTCCAATCCAAATAGACCTTCAATTTGCGAACCCGATAATAACGCACAATTGTCTATTACCGAGCCGGGGTTGTTTTTTTTTGAAATTGGCCCAATGAAATGCTTATTTAATTACGCGAGATTAGCAATCATACTTGTTAACACCTCCCATCCCCTCCTCCCCACCCCCCCCCCACCCCCCCCCCNCCTCCTCCCCACCCCCCCCCTACCCCCCCTAGTACTGCTGCGTCACCTATTCAACTCCACTAATGACTGATTGGTGCGTCTTTTTAGAGACCTTTTACGAGGTAATGAGATGTATACAGTATAGTTACTCTCAGAGGCCCTTTTATAGAGGCTGAATTGTACTTCAACGACTACCCTCCCTGTTCTAAATAATGAATTATCTTGCAATTCAAACACACACACACACACACACTCACTTCATATCGATTTATTGGGTCTGGAACACCCTGTCTCACTGCAACGCGACATGATCTCGCCTTCCATATTTTTTTTCTTCTTTTCTACTTCCTTATAGTTTCTGTTCTTTTTTCTCTGTGTTGAAGTTTAGACGCGAGGCATCTGTCAGCTTTGTATGGTTGGACATTTTCGCCCATAACAATAAAAACGATTTTTATTTCTCACCCACAATGGTTGAGCAATTTGTTGTTTGGAGTAGTGTACGCCGTCTGGCTCTTACTTTTAGGCTTTTGCAATCTTTATGCAGTATAACGTGCGCCTTAATTAGTTAAGACAGACAACTTTAGGCAAAGTAAAGGTAAAATAAAATTATAAATTTCGTTAATTGAAATGTTTTATACTTACATTTCCACCTTGAGATATGCCTCGTTACTGTACTTTACGCCAAATTATACTCCCTTAAAACAAGTTTGCACTAACCGCGTGCGACCTTCGACTAGCCCATCTTTGAGATGTGATTGCGCGAAAAACTGTACTTTCTAGCATATATCCTTAGAGGATGAGGAGTAGTGACCTTTTAAGTATTGATCAACAACTTTTAAAGTACACTGTTTATTTTCTATCCTTTTAATTTACCTGAGAACTTTATTAATTCCCAAGCCCATTTAAGAGAGCGCTTTTCGTGTCCCCATCTCCGATTGGATGGCATCGTAGGGCCCGCCTTCCCCCCCCTCCTCCTCCTCCTCCTCCTTGTGGGGTATATGTTGATGTAATCGAACCTCTGACTTGGCCGACGAGTACGTTGATCACCGACGTACATCTGATAGCTTTAACTTAGCTTCCAGACTAGTTTTTCCAGCTCGTATTCATTAATTAGAATTTTTCAGCGATCGAAAGACCTTCTTCAACTTATTTTGCCTAAAAGTCACTTCTTGCCAATGTTTGAGAGTTGCTTGAAATTGCGTTTATTGGAACCTGTGTGTTGTTCATAGACGGTAATACTGCCTGTGAAACAGGCGAATAGAAATGACCTTGAAGGATGACTCCATCTATTTCTCAATTTTTGATCCCATTCTCTGTAAGCGTACTTTGACTTTTCAGTCATGAAGTTGCAGAAACACCTTTATTGATCCTTTGACTCAAACCTCCATCTGCCATGTCCAGGTGGAGGCATCTTTTCTATTTTTTCTATAACTACCCCCCCCCATTTCATGAAAATGTACACATTCAGTCATCCACGTCAATACCAACGTGGCTCATATCAACTGTCTTTGCATTCCTCCACGGATGTATACACTTGACTTCTCTCCTCTCCTATCAGTACCTTCTCTCTCTCAACCTATTCTACCTTAACTGTGGCGTCACAGCAGATGCTATCCACACACAATTGTTGGCTTTATACCTCTTTGCTTTGCGAAGTTGAGACCGTCTGTTGCTTGACCACGTTTCTACAGACTGCTTCTGGCTTATTAGTGCCCACATTTTGACTCCTTTAACTCCAACAACAAACTGGTGATTCAATGCGCATTCATCCCTCTGACCAACAATAACTCTAAGGATAGAGGGCTCTGTTTTCTTCAGTTTCGCCATACTATCTACACAAAATTCTCTACATTCCCATGTGGTAACTGCTTTGTAGCGTCAATCTGTTGGTCATTGTGAAAAATTCGTCTGCAAACGCGATGTTTTTTTTGGTGGACAGGTTTACCTAGGTCTCGACTACTTCAGTATTTGCTATAAACCACCAAACTTACGCAGGACAAAAGGTAGAATGGCTGAAATTGACTTTTGTCATTCTGCCTCCTGTTGTGATTATGGGACTGTCTGCTGTTAGTTCGCCAATCGCAATTACGCCACGTGTAGGAGGTCTATGTTTCGTCGTTACTTGAACTTTGTCTCATTCTCTTCACGTGAAAGGTTTTGTTGGCTCACCTGTGTGTGTTAGCTTCTTCATATTTCACACACACGCACACACACACACACACGGACACCTCGGCGACTCACTTGCACTTCAATTTGCTCATTGCTTTCTCTCTCTCTCTCTGTCGACGTGTTTTATCATCGTTGGCACAGTTACCAAGTGTCGGCGTTTTCGCTCCTTCTGTCTGTCTAGCAGACTCCGGTAAGTGTTTCACCGGATTGTCATTGCGGGTGTCATCGTCGGCGGAGAATAATCGTGTTTTGGAACTTTTGCCGTTAATTAGATTGAATATTTGGAACGAAATGCATAACAGTATTTTGATAATTTTAATTCAGGGAATGGTGAGTATTGTTTACGTTCATTTCACTTCTTCATTTAATTTGACCCAGCTTAAGAGGGGTACCATTGTCTCACGTTGAGTACGATTTCCGTGTGATTGGCAAATTCTATATGTGACTATGTGCGATAGACTTACCTCCTCGTGGTGCACCCTGGACAACGTATTTTCTTACGGCAAAAAAGTCTATCACTCGGCATTCGGGGGTGTGCGATAGACTTACCTCCACGTGGTGCACTCTGGGCAACGTATATTCATACGGCAAAAAAGTCTATTAACTGGCAGTTGACTTCTCACTTCAAACTACCATCACCTCACTATATGTCATATTCGACTACTTCCACAGTACTAACCTCACCTTTTTCTACCTTCGTCTTTGAAGCACTCTTCTGTTCCCCCCCCCCTCTCGACTTTTTTTCCCACTTTGATGTTCCTT